AGGCCCCAGGAAGCTCCAGAAGGCCTCAGGAAACCACAGGAGACCCCAGGAGACAACAGGAAGCGCCAGGAGGCCTCGGAAGGCAACAGGAGGCCCCGAGAGGCCCCAGGAGCAGGAGGCCTCAGAAGGCAACAGGAGTGGCTCCAATCCCATGTGTTTTACGTATGCTCCTATCGATTGGGCCTCACCTGGAGCACGATTCTTTGATGTTCTACGTATGTTTCTATAGATGGTCCTTCTCCTGTGTACACAATCCTAAATGTTTTACTCATGTTCCTATGTATTGGGCCTCTCCTGGGGCACGAGTCCTTGGTGTTTTACGCGTGTTCCTATAGATTGCCCTTCTCCTGTGGCTCTAATCCGCAATGTTTTATGTACGTCTGTTGCTATAGATTGCGCCTCCCCTGGGGCACGAAACCTTCCTAGGAGGTCCCAGGAGGTCCCAAGAGGCTCCTGGAGACCCCAGGAAGCCCCAGTAGGTTTCAGGAGGCCCCAGGAGGCCCCAGGCTCATGCACAGAGACGCGCTCGTACTACTGAGGCTCATTCACACTCCAATTCATTCGCAGTTAGATTGATGTCCAGACCGTCACATCTGAAGCCCGTTAATATTCGAAAGCTCTTGCGCCTAGACATTCACGGCGGACAGGTCCATGCGAGTAGATGCACATATGGGGAGCTCCACGCAGTGAATAATTCTTTGCCGGCGTTGCAGGTCTTACATTGGTGGCGGCCAGGTTAGAGTTCGTGAGCTCAGCGTGATGTCCAAGACGGTAAGGATCATGGAAGCCGCGTGCTCGCGGGCGGCTGTAAGTAATCCCGAGTAGTAGTCAGGCTCGGAGTGATTTCTTCGGGTCGTGCACTCGGTGCTAGGATTGCTGTCCTGTGTGTAGAAGGCGTATGTTGCAATATATATTGTTTGTAGCCCCTCGGTGGGCTCGCCCACCACTGAGGGTGTACGGGGGCCGCTCGGTGCCGCGCAGGCAACAAACAGATGTGTAATTGGCGCACCGCTCAACTCGTAAATCTTTGTGACTGCCCGAGCCTGAGTTTCTGCCCACGCGCCAGACGGCGCATGGTTTAAGAATGAGTGGTTGAACGAGCGAGTGCGAGGGATCCTCGTCGCCACGGCTGGATCCGCCCCATATTTCTGGCCCGAGCGCATTCTTGGACATGTCCAGGGATCGGTCTTGCGGGTGGACGCCCAGACTTCAAAAATCCCGGGGAAGTCGAGGCGAAGATGTTTCGATGTCTTCGGCCCCCTTGCCCCCCCCCAGGAAGTGATCGAGACATCTGATCGACGGAAGAGAACGAGATCGACGGCGCCGACATTCGTGCATAAATTTGCCACGCAACTTCGCGCGTACCTAAGCGCCCATCTTCCCCACGCGGTGTGCAACGTTGGCCCCCCCCCGCGTAAGCCGCGGCGTAAGGTCGCCGTGCCATCTCGCGTGAGACCCCTTTTCTCGTCGGTGCCCCTCTGGGATCCGCGTGCTGAACAGCTCTGGACACGGGCGCAGCAAGGGCGCGAGACGGGGGCGCAGAGCCTCCTTGGGCGTCCCGGCCGGGGCTGCCTCTGCCTCGTCACCGCACGCCCAGCGGGACCGGACGGGGACGGGGACGGGGACGGTCTGCCCGCGCGTGCCGTGGCATCGGCACCCGCTCAGGAAATGTGCCTGACAACACATGCGCTGCTCGTTGCAAACATAAGCCAGGGCGCAGGGGCCCTGCCTCGACGAGCTGCGCGCTGCTCCCTGCGGCTTCTGGCGATCGGGCCTCCGACGCGCGTGCCAGCGGCGGCAGAGGAGCCGCCCGCGGACGGGCACGGTCGCCCCTGCTCTGCGCGCGCTCCGCCCTCCCAGGTGCACCAGCACTTCCACCAGCACGCCGGCGGGACAGCCCCCGGGGGGGGGGGGGGAGGGCCGCCGGCGGCGCGCTTCGCTCTCTGCGGGCCTCCCGCTGCAGGCGGGAGGCCCGTCGGGCCACGGCCGGAGCTTCGCCCATTCGAGGGGCCGGGGCGCGCCCCCCAGAGAGTCGAGGTGGGCGAATCCTGGAGAGGGGGGGTCTTGGGCAGGGGCAGTGTCGGAGGGGCTCGAAGGATGCACTGCGTCGCGTGGTCGGCCAAGGAGCCAAGAAGCTCGGAGAAGGAATTCGGTGTATAGACGTCCCAGCTCCCCACAGGCTGGGAAGCCGGGGCGCCTAAAACACCGAGTTCCTCGGCCGACCAGACGACTTGGCCTATACTTTGAGCCCCTCCCAAGCGTGCTGAGGAGACCCACGGGGCATGCTGGGACGAGCCCTGAGGAGGGCGGCTTGGACGCCCCGGTGTCGCATCCTCCCTTTTCGTGCCTTGTTCGTGCTTGTTCGTACTTTGTCGTGCCTTTGTCGTGCCCTTTTCGTGCCTGCTCGTGCCGTTCGTGACTTCTCGTGCTCTGGAGGGTGGGGGCCCCGAGGAGGCCCACGGCCCAAGGGGAGGGGGGGCCACAGGGAGGGCTCGGCCACCGCGGAGGCGGGGCTCCGCGACCACTCGCGGCCCGAGAGAGGGGGCTCGCTGCCCCGAGCGCGGGGCGCCGCGTGCTGGGCATCGCTGGCACCGGCAGGGAGCAGGCGCGGCGCGGATGGCTGCCACAAGGCGGCCCCGTGCGCAGCCCCTGTCAGCGAGCGACTGCGAGCCCGGCCCCCTGCGGACCCAGCCGACGCTGGGGGTGTCGGGCCTCGCCGCCGGGGGCTCACCTGGCTGAAAGGAACCTTCGCGTGTTCTGAGTTCCAGCCGGCGTCTCAGAGAACTGGCCAGCTGGGGTAGGGTTCGCACGTGGTTGCCCAGAGGTCGAGGGTGGCGGTGTGGTCGTGCACTTGGCCCACGACGTCGGATGTCGATGGGGGGGCGGTTGAGCAGGAGGAGCATTAGCAGTGAGGATGAGGGGGAGAGGGAGGACTTGGAGGGGGAATAGCAGCACGAGGAGGAGAGGCTGGAGTACGGAAGTCGAGGAGAGGGGTGCGAGAGAAGCGGAACCAGTGGGGGCAAACGGATGAAGCGGAGGTGGAGTCGGAGGTGTAGGCTGAGGGAAGCGGAGGTGAAGTTTGAGGCGGAGCTTGAGGGTGGGAACGCAGAGGGATGAGGAGAAAGAGGAAGACGATGGGGAGTAAGCAGAGGCGTCACCAGAGCTTGGGAGGAGTCGGGAGAGGGATGATGAGGAGACAGAGGGCGGAGGGAGGAGGAGGAGGAGGAGGAGGAGGAGGAGCAGGAGCAGGAGCAGGAGCAGGAGGAGGAGGAGGAGGACGAGAAGCAGCCGGAGGCGGAGGCGGATAGGGGGGGAGAGTGGGGGAGGGCGGAGGCGAAAGAGGGACGATGAGGCGGAGGAAGGTATGACACGTAGGAGAAGGAAGACAGGGGGGCGTGGAGTAATTAGGAGAGGGGGGAGGGAGAATGCAACGGAAGAGTGGATCGATGGTAAGAGTCGTGGTCGTGGCAAGGGCTTTTGATATCTCAGTTCGCTCAATGGATGGTTGCCTCTACTGATTCCCAACGCATTGATATCTCAGACCGCTAATTGGGCAGTTGTAAATACGGATTCTCTCTCCACTGGGTTGGTATTTCAGATTGCTCAACGGAAGGGTTGTCTCTTCTGGCTCCAGCGGGTTGATATTCTGGATCGCTCTGTGGACGGTAGTCTCGACTGCTTCTCTATCCAGTGGATTGGCATTTCAGTCCGCACGAGCGACCAGCTGCGCTGGACGGCTTGCGACACAAATGGCAACACCAGCAACATGTCGCAAAAGTGTCCAGCGCCTGCTCGTGCGACTGATCTCGTTTGGAGCTTCACTCAACTGTCGTGGGATGGTGGATATACTTATGATGTTCCATTCTACTTTGGCCTTGACCACCAGAAAGAATTTCGAGCACCAGAAAAGTGCAGAAATTCGAAAAGGATTCTAGCGTGTCGGGCCCTGGGAGACGCTCGCCCGACACTGTTTCGACATTCTTCCGACACTCTTTCGACACTTTTCAGGGTGCTCGAAATTGTTTCTTGGACGTGGTCTTGAAGTACACATTGTTCATTTCTAATTATTCGATAGTTCTTTGCTTTTGGGGGGGGCCAGGATCCTTTCATCTCTAATTGTTCTGTCCTGGGCCTCTTCCTGGCCACCAGGGAGGCAGGAACAATCAGAAACGAGCACAATTAGAAATGAGCACGATTAGAAATGAACGACGTGTACGATGGGAGCAACAGAAGGATACACCTCAACCGTCCGAGCAGCTGGGGGCGGCCGATCCGACGGGCGGGGCCCTCGTCGCCGCATCGCCGCCGCCGCCGCTGGTCGCTCGGCCGCCCGCTGCCGGAGGGCGGGGGGCTGCCGGTGCCGCTTGGGCGCCGCCCCCCCTCGTCGTCCGCTGGCGTCCAGGCGCCGCTGTTTTGTTTTGCTCGTGGTGATTGCGTGATTGTTTTGTCTTGTTCGTGGCGTTTTGCCTCACATCTGTGTCGTTCGTGGTTTTTGCTGTGCTTCGCTCTGTTGCAGGTGATTTGTTGTGTTCACGCTCATCTGGGCGGGAGGCCCAGGCTCGTCTCGATGGCAGCGTCGTGTGGGACACGTCTGAGGTGAGGCCACGCCCCCGCGCTGGCCTCACGACAGTCCATGCAGCCTGATGTGCGCCGCCTGCCTTCGCGCCTCGCAGCAATCGACTTCACAGCAGGTCGAGCGCGCAGCAGCATGGAAGCATCACTCGGCGGAACGACGACAGGGCCAAATCAGTGTTTTTATGGCCCAAGCCCGAGCAACCGGTCTTGAAGAATTTGATAACTGCTCCTCCTCCCCCTCCTCCTCCTCCTCCTCCTCCTTCTCCTCCTCCTCCTCCTCCCCTTCCTCCCCCTCCCCCCCTTCTCCTCCTCCTCCTCCTCATCATCATCCTCATCCTCCTCCTCTTCCTCCTCTTCCTCCTCCTCTCTCCTCCTCCTCTCTCCCTCCCTCTAGTGCGGATCGTGCTTTCCTCTTCCTGCAACAGCACGAACGCCGGGGGAGGACGCACATCCACCAGCAGCCCCAGCTCGTGTCTGGCCACGTGGTCTACGGCGGCGTGCAAGGTGCGGCGCGCCCCGGCGAAGTCGTGGCCGTCGCCCTCCTCCTTCCGGTTTCGCCATCGGGGCGCTTCCCGGGGGTTGCCGCCGCCGCAGCCCCACGCAGCTCGAGACACCTGCCGGGGCGGGCCTCCAGGAGAGGGGCCCAGGCCCGCAGAGACCTCGGGCGCCATGTTTCTTTGGCATCTTCCCCTCGTGGTCTTGCGGGCTCCTCAGCCCGAGCATCCGCGGGGAGCCCGGGCCGTGGGCAAGGCTTTGTCTTCGAGGCTCGAGGCTCGAAGCGGGCCTCGAAAGTCCCTGAGTGCCCTCGCTCCGAAAGGCTTGCCGCCGTGGCTCCTCCAGGGCTCCAGGCATCTGGCCTCCCAGGACGTGGGCCCCCCAGAGAGCCCTCCAGGACCGACTTCTCGCCGCTGGCTCGCTGCTCTTCGGCCCCCCGGGGCCCCGAGGGTGGGCCCCCCCCTTCCCCCCCTCGGCCCCGGGAGGCGCAGAAGACGTGCCTGGCGCGCGACTCTCTCACGGCGACAGGGCGTCTCTGAGAGGTCGGGGGAGCCCCGCCTCGACACCTGATGAGGCCCGCTGCTCCGAGCGCGGGGCGCTACGGGCAGGGCATCGCCGGCACTGGCAGGGAGGAGGTGTGGCGTAACTTCCATGATCTATGAATCTCTGGATGTGAGTACCCTTACATGTTTCGAGCCAGGATGACTGCGGAACGAAATCCGATTCAGAGCGTAGTCGAAACAACTCATTACCATCAGCTCTACACTCACACAGGTCATGGTATGTGCTCTGAGCTGCAACACATAAACTGCCTAGGCTATAATTATTGGCACGCCCCCTCAGCTAGAGGGCATGCAAATTTAGAAGCACGGCATCAGGAATTGCTTCACAACCTAGCGGAAATCATCCGCCAGAACTCTCGGATTGACACTCGTTTGCATTGAATGTTTGCACCTGCAGAGGGACATCGGGCGCACAGTTCGCGCCGAACCATTTTAAAGAAGAATAAAGCATCCTCGAAGGAACGAGGTGTCAGAAGCAAATCTTGCAGGGCTCCAACATTCGGGTGTCCTGTCTCACATGACTGCGCCAGCGCTGATGATATTATCTGCCAGACGGGCAGAGAAAGACCCGGGCTATCACACTCGTGAGGCTGATCTGGCACCGTCTGAGTACCCACAGAAGTCATTGTGAGCAACGGCGTGGTGCGGTCCGTCAAAGCCGTCGTCGTCGTCGTCGTCGTCGCAGGATGTCCCCTGCAACACAAGTGGCAGACTGAAGCAATCATTACAAACATCTATAGCACCACGGCCGACACCGACAAGGGAAAGACTCCACTGGACTCGCTCGTCGAATCTCCGTTGTAGCTTCCCGAGCTGGTTGTGACATCAAAGCTGCAATCTGAGCTTTGCCAACCGCAGCATTAACCGTGGTACGTAATTACCCCCGCTTCAGGATCCATCAGGATATCGACTGGAAATAGATCCAGCTTCTCGATGAGCATCTGGACCTCAGTCGAGCTCGGTACCTTCGTCAACATGTCAGCTATGTTATCCTCTCCTGGGATCCTCTTGGAGATAGAGCCGCCTCTCAAACACTCTGCCTGCAACCGCATATGTCGTATGTGCAGATGCTTCATGCGACCACATTCGCCATGGTGCATAAGCGCCTTTGACGCCGAAGCGTCCGTATAGCAGAATGCTGGTAGCTTGCCCCTGCCAACCAACTCCACCAGGTGCTGAATGCCAAGCGCCTCCTGTATGATCTCGCTGCTGCTCATGATCTCCGGTTCGCCTGATGAGAGTGCGAGCCGATCTCCACCTCGGCTGTGGCAATGCATTCGGCACCTTGCTATCATGATAGCTGATCCCCGCTCTTCCTGCCCAGCTCGTCGCTGCCCCAGTCGCCGTCACAGCAGGCGTCGATCTTGCTCGGGGCCTCATGGGCTGGGTAGATGGTCGCGTGGTTCTCGGTACACTTCAGGTAGCGTATCAGCTTGATGGATTATCACTTGGACTTGTTGTCTGGATTCTGCAACATTTGGCAGAACCATCGTCGCCAGGAGAACTCGTTGCTTCCTTGCCAAGTATATCAGCCAGCAAACCACCGTCCTACATAGAATAGCGTCCGCCGCGCTCAGCTCATGATCGTCGCCCTCCATTGTTGTCTTGTCGAGCTTTGGCGAGGTAGCTGGACTGCACCCCTCCATTCGCATATCGGTCAAACTCGTGTCGATGTACTGGGTCTTGGCATGGACACGCAGTCCCTCGTTATGTCCTCTTCCCTGTCACGCCAAGGCGCTTCGTCTCAGTGTCTTGCCACAGCTCCTGTGTCCATGAAATGTCTAGCTTGCCGTCGATGTAACTCTTGAGTTGTGATAGGGCTCTGCTGGGACCAGTCGTCATACCGTCGTCCACGTGCAGGTCGATCGTCGTGTCCAACAGCTTGCTGTGAACACAGCGATGGGGTACTTAAGTCCTGGGCAAACTCGAACCTGCAACCCTTGGACTATATCACGCTAAACATTATCCTGTCAGTTCCGAGCCCCGATCTCCCGCCGTAAATCCCCAGGCGTTACCACATTGTCTCGCCGTAACAAACCCTCTGGTACTAGGGTGATGGCCAGGTAACTTGGATTGCCTCCACTGGTGTCTGGGTGATCGCTGGCACTGCATCAAAGCCCATCTGATGATATCCCCTCTTGACCGCGATCAGGTCCACCATGGAGGCAGTGGCCTCCTCGCTCGCAGCGTCGAACACCGTTGGATACTTTGCTGTGGCGCACTCCCTGACACATTAGCGTGCCAGTTTCTTGTGCGGGGGTCCACCCAAGTGCCAAAACATATCTTCGCACTTGTAGCGCGAGCCTCCTTCACGTTCCAGTCCTTGACGTAGCCGTTGCCAACGAATGTCTTGATCTCAACGGGCTTCGAGGCCTGGATGCTGGCCTCGGAGCCTTTCCCATAGCGCATCTACTTCGTGAGCCCGTGACCTCAGCCCCAGCTTGCGTGGCCGAGATCGTCTGCGTGAATCCTAGTCGCCTCCGTGTGTACTGAACCTCGGTCGGCCTCCGCAAGCTTTGCGCGCCCGTAGGGCATCACCAAGTTTTTTCTCGGTTCCGCCTTCCAGATCCATCGCTGATGCTGGAGCTTCCTCCGCCGTACCTTCTGTCGCCACTTGAGGTTGCACCTCCGCCTCCATCAACTGGTCGCTGGCCCTAGGTGTGCCGATCACCTCCTGGTCGCCAGGCGCCTGCGCCGCCACTCGACTCTGCATCTCCATGGGCAGGGTGCGCAAGAGAGCCGCCTAACTCAGGCTGTTCTCCCCGATGTTGCCCGGAAGCTTCCCGTAGAGCGCCCTGTCGCATTTCGCTTCGTCTGGTAGCCGTCGCTCCGTCGTGCCCGTCTCCATGCCGTGCTGAGTCAGCACGACGTGGGTTTCGCTCCTTTCCATATATGCGTCCGACCCATGTGACCTCGATCCATTGCGCGTTCAGCTTCTTGCGCACACCCTCAGGCGCGTTGGGAACTCTGATCATCATGAGCTCACCGAGCTGCACAAGCTTGGATGTGCACGCTTGTCATCTCAGAAATTGGTCGGCAGTCGCCTTGGCACACTCGCGCACCTGATGCCGATGGATGATCCAAGCCGCGTGGCTAACCATCCATGGACAAAAACACATCACCAGGCATGGTACCGTGAGCAGCGCAAGCTCAAACAATTGACCGCCGGACACGGAGCTGACCTTGAAGATGTCGATGGAAACGCTCAACCGCACCAACGTGTTCGCGCTCAGCACTTGTAATGGTTTGCTCCGTCGATTGGGTCTGCTTTCGCTTCTGAGCTTGATAGTCCACCATACCCATCAGACCCGTCTCGTTGTCAATCTTGATCGTCACGATTGGAGCATGAGGCCCTCAAGTAACGTGAGATTTTGTCGCAACGTTGCCTCCCGTCTCTTTCTGAGCACCGCCATTGCTCCTCCTGCCAGGGTTCACCATCGTGAACAGCGTAGCCCTCCTCTGAGACTCGTCGCAGAAATTCCCAGTAGCCGGCAGGTAAATGTAGTCCCCTTGGATATGTGGGCCGAGCTTCTCTGGGTCTTCTCGAGCAGCAACCGCGTGAGCGTCGGATCGGCCCTGAGATGCGATGCATATATCACACCAAGTTGCCGATGGACACTACGTTAAGTTGTGGCTATCGATGACGTGCTGAGCTGGCATCCTGGAGTGGGCGATCGCGCTCGCAGCCGACGCATGTCCAGCACCCATGTCAGTTCCAGATCGCACGCCTTCCAGCGGACGGGGTACTGGTCGAATACACACGGGTCGATTGCTGTCACCGATCTTGCACACCCACAGCCCTTCGGTGTCGCCAATCTCCTCGGGAATCGTAGCGGGAACTTGCTGCTACCAGGTATCGTCCGCTTCCCAGGGTTCGTAGATCCATTCGTTAGGGTCCCCACGGGCACGGCCAGTCTTCTCCATCCATCGGTGCACTCATGTCGTAGTTCAGCTCCCTCTCTGCCGTAAGTCCCGCAATGGTCCTCAATGCCGTTGCCGATGACGATGGCATCGATGCTCCAGACAAGGACGGCGCCGATGACGGCGTGACCGTCGAGGTACCTCCCTGCTGTGACTGCACCATCTGCAACGCTGCCTGAGACAATTGAGGCTGAGAAAGAGCTCCAACGTCCATGCGGTTCTGGCATTGAGACTTACGTTGGAGTTCATCCTCCTCCTCCTCCTCTTTCTCCTCCTCCTCCTCCTCCTCCTCCTCCTCCTCCTCCTCCCCCTCCAGTGCCAACTTCCTTCACGGCAACCCTGAAACGCCCCCCTGAATCCAAGGCTCTTGTCCCCCTCGGAGTCGGTCTTGCTTCCGCTAGGGTCCTTGGCACTGTCGCTCTTGCCTCCGCCGAACTTGCCACTCTGACTGCCCTTGCCACCTTGGCTCTTGCCACCATAGCTTTGGCACACCTTGCTGTTGTGACTCTAGTAGGTCTTGCCACC